CTCCGGTTTGATGGTAACAGTTCATACTCCGTGGTTCAGAGCGTGGTCAGGGTCAGAGGCGATGCAGTTAGCCAGTCTTGAAATGCTTTTGTTGTAGGCCGATTCATAGAGTCTTTGCATGGGTTGGCCTACAATCTTAGAGCAGATGTTCACCTGCTGGAGCAGTTTAGACTTCAGAGTGGTGGACAGACACATATACCATGAGGTGTTACAGGACTGTAGGACACTTAGAATCACAGAGGTAACGAACAAAAGAAGAATCTGTCGACTCGCCCCAAAAGATCTCAGACGGCGGAGGAAATAAATTCTTTGTTTTGTCTTTTTACAGATGTAGTCGATGTGATCTTCCCAGGACAACAGATGGTCGATCATTATACCCAGATATTTATAAGATGACACTTGCTTGATTTTTTCATCATGAATGAGAATAGGAGCTTTATGAGCATCAGACGGTGAACCAAATACAATTTCCTCTGTTTTCTTTGCCTTGATCTCTAGAGCGTGTTTATCACTCCACATAACCATTTTGTTCACAGCATGTTGGTGCAGTCCAGGGTTGTTAGAGTTACTTAGACTTAGACTTAGACTTTCTTTATTGTCATTCAAACTTGTACTTTACAGTGCAGATAAGAACGAAATTTCGTTGCATTTGGCTCGTTGTAGTGCAGGATAAAAACAGCAGCATGTATTTACATATAAAAATAAAAATAAGGTGCAGATATAAATAGATATAAAAAGAAAAACTATGAGTAAAAATACTATACAGATAAATATATTGCACGTTATATTGTGTTTTACAGTCCAGTGAGGTAGTCCTGTGTGGGGGTTTGAGGGGGAATGGAGGGATTATTTTTTCCTGTTCAAAAGTCTTATGGCCTGTGGGAAGAAGCTGTTACAGAACCTGGAAGTTCTGCTTCGGAGGCTGCGGAACCTCTTTCCAGAGTCCAGCAGTGAAAACAGTCCTTGGTGGGGGTGGGAGGTGTCTCTGCTGATTTTCTGAGCCCTGGTCAGACAGCGGATCTTTGCGATCTCCTGGATGGGAGGAAGTGGAGTCTGAATGATCTTTTCCGCCGTCCTCACCACTCTCTGCAGGGACTTCCAGTCGGAGGCACTGCAGGCTCCGGACCAGACAGAGATGCAGTTTGTTATGATGCTCTCTATAGTGCCTCTGTAGAAGGTGGTGAGAATAGGAGGAGGGAGGTGTGCTCTCTTCATCCGACGCAGAAAGTGCATGCGCTGCTGCGCTTTTTTCACAAGAGCGCCGGTGTGAAGGGACCAGGTCAGAGTGTCTGTTATCTGCACCCCCAGGAACTTTGTGCTGCTAACTCTCTCCACTGCTGTGCCATTGATGAGGAGTGGTGTGTGGCTGGGCTGGCGCCTCCTGAAGTCGACGATGATCTCTTTGGTTTTATCGACGTTCAGGGTCAGGTTGTTGGTTCTGCACCAGTCAACCAGATGTTTCACCTCCTCTCTGTAGTCCATGTCGTTGTTGTCACGGATGAGGCCCACTACTGTTGTGTCGTCTGCAAACTTCACGATGTGGTTAGTAGTGGACCTGGCGCAGCAGTCATGGGTCATCAGGGTGAACAGCAGCAGACTCAGGACGCAGCCCTGAGGGGAGCCGGTGCTCAGGGAGATGACACTGGAGGTGTTGTTGCCCACCCGCACAGACTGGGGTCTGTTTGTGAGGAAGTCAAGCAGCCAGTTACATAGGGGGTGCTGAAACCAAGGGGGGCCAGTTTGCTCACCAGATGCTGCGGGATGATTGTATTGAACGCTGAGCTGAAGTCCAGAAACAACATCCGCACATGTGTGTCCTTCTCTTCCAGATGTTGTAAGCCCAGGTGGAGTGCAGAGGAGATGGCATCCTCTGTGGAGCGGTTTGGGCGGTAAGCAAACTGGTACGGGTCGAATGTGGAGGGAAGTCTGGAGACAATGTGGTCCTTTACCAGCCTCTCAAAGCACTTCATCATGATGGGGGTTAGTGCTACAGGGCGGTAATCATTGAGCGAGGAGATTGTGGATTTTTTAGGCACTGGTATAATTGTAGCAGTCTTTAAACATGAAGGTATCACAGCCTGGATCAGCGAGGTGTTGAAGATGTCTGTGAGAACCCCAGTCAGCTGGTCAGCACATTCCTTAAGCACCCGTCCCGGTATGTCGTCAGGGCCCGCTGCTTTCCGGGTGTTCACTCTCCTCAGGGTTCTCCGGACATCAGCTGCGTCCAGGCTGATTGGCTGCTCATCGGAGTGAGGAATAGATTTCCTCGCTGGAGTGGTGTTGAGTGCCTCAAACCTCGCAAAGTAAGTTGTGAGTTGATGATGTTGTTGTCACAGGGGGGAGGAGTAGCTTTATAGTCTGTGATGACTTGTATGCCCTGCCACATTCGTCTGGTGTTTGTGGGGTCCTCGAAGATGTCCTGCACTTTCTGACTGTGAGCACGCTTTGCAACCTTATGGCACGGTTCAGGTTGAAAATCAGAGAAATCAGAGAAATCAGAGCTGTATCTTCAGAGTACTTCAGAGTGTACTGATTTTGTGTATCAGACCGACAGTCATCTGTATAAAAAGTGAAAAGCACAGCTGAGCTCACACAACCCTGGGGAGCGCCAACATTAGTTGTGATAGCAGATGAAAGGGTGTTATTCACCTTCACAAACTGGATTCTGTTAGTGAGAAAAGAAGCATACCAAAGAGTCAAGTAGGGGTTAAGTTTGTGTTGAATCATTTTTGATACGAAGATGTCTGCTTTTATTGTGTTAAATACTGATGAAAAGTCTAGAAAGAGGGCTCTTCAAATGTATTTGGCTTATCTAAATGTTTGGTGATGATATGGACCAGAGTGGCAACAGCAGCCTTTGTTCCACATCCTTGCTTATAAGCAAATTGGTATGGATCAAGTGTGTGATTTGTTTTGCTAACAAGATGTTTGAGCAGTATTCTTTCTAGAGATTTCATGATCACTGAGGTAAGAGCTATTGGTCTGAAGTCTTTATGATCCCTTGGACATGGAATCTTAGGTAAAGGTTTTATGTACAAAGTTTTCCATGACATAGGGACCTCGTGTGTCAACTGAAGACTGAAAAATTGGTTGCCATACTGGAGCCAACTCAGCTGCAAAGTTTTTTTTGCACAAAACCGCTACACTTATCAGGTCCCGCTGCTTTAATTTGAATTTTTGTTCTATTTTAATATTTATTTTCTTTCCTCTGTCATGATGCTTTTGATGTCTTGTGTGAAGCACTTTGAATTGCCTTGTTGTTGAAATGTGCGACATAAATAAACTTGCCTTGCCTAAATACACACAAATAGATAAAACTTAACTTCTTGTCAGGGAGACGCACACAAAGGAACCACGAGGATGCAAACAATACCACTCTGGAAACTTGTAACCAGTCTATACATCTAACTTGGTCCAGGAGGAAGGCCAGAAAGAACGATTCCACTGAGAAGCCATTATAAAAGAGGGAGGAGCTAACGCTAAACACAATATAATTGGAGACTGCTGTGATGGATTGCTCCTGGACCAATGAACACTAAGCACTAATAAAACACAGAATTAAAGGGAAAGCAACACAAAATGTGATACCCAAAGACAGTTTTCTACTCTTTTTTTTCCTCCAGTTTAACAGACATGAACCCTCTTTTGTGTTTTCCTGCAGGAAGCAGCCATGGCCAAACTCGCCGCGTCAGAAGCCGCCACATTCTGCTCTCATCAGGTAAGAAGAATCGACCACGCAGACGGTTAAGCGTGCAGAAAGAGACGGGACGTTTTTAACTTTTGGTGTGTTTTGCACTTTTACATCAGGCGATCCAGGTTCTGGGTGGGATGGGCTACGTGTCAGACATGCCCGCTGAGAGGCACTACCGCGACGCTCGCATCACAGAGATCTACGAGGGCACGAGTGAGATCCAGAGGCTGGTGATCGCCGGCCAGATCCTGAAGGAATACCAAGCATAGACGCCGCACGCCACAATATGGACGAGTAATAATCACGCACACTGGGACATCACCTCATTCATTCAGATTTAAAAGGAGCCGCGTTGATCGGGTGAGACCTCATCTGAGTTTCACGTGATTGTGCGTGCCCGTTACCTCCGCCGTCTCGTGTGTCGTTGGACTACAGGAGACGCCACGTAATGTTTGGAAAAGAGCGCCGGTGACTTCAACAGCGCCTTCCTGAAAAGTTGAATGATTTTCAATTTGACGGATGGAGCGGGTGGAGCGCTCAGAAAAAAGACGCTGTCGTTTGATTTTTCTCAAGGCGGCCGCTTTCTCCGGAGAACGATCTCAGACGCTGGCGCTCAGAAAAAAAAAAAAACACCAGGTGGACACGGGGCCTTCGATGTCATTTTATAACACATCTCTGCAAAGAACTTTAAAAAGCAACTCATAAAAACGTCTCCTGTCGACCTTATTTTACTGACTGACATGTTGAGTAATTTCATGTGAATGTGAAGAGCTGCAGATTAAAGCGTCACTTTCCCGTTGTGGTTATATCCATAACTTTAGAGCGCTCGCCTTTTAAATAAAACACATAGAAATGTTGTGGTTTGTAAAAGACGAAACAGAAGCTGTGTGGTTGACCTTAAAGGAAGAATGTGCAACTTTTTTTGATCCAGTAGATGTCGCCCATGAGCTCCAGAATTAAACCAAAACAAACTGCTGTTAGGCCACGCCTCCTCCAGAGACACACCTCCAACCCCCCCGTCCCCTCACGCTCACAGGAAGGAGTTGTTGATTAAGAACGCACCATAATTAAAATGGTCCTTATCTCGAGCTGCAATCACTTGTGTTAGCATGCTAATGTTAGCGCTCTTTAGTTAGCTCGTAGCTTCACATTTCATGTAAACTGACACAGAATGAGCGTGATCTAAAAACTCTTACTAACATCCAAATAATCAGTGAGTATGTTCTTCTTCTTCTCTCTAGTTCTTGACTAAAACAGCTTTTATACACAAGGGGAGGAGCCGGCCGTCCCGTCCATGTAAACACGGCTCTGACAACAACACAGCCAGCGGGACTCGAGCTTCTCCCTCATTGTAGACAGTCATGACTCAGAGACACATTTACACAGGACAGACTTTATGATTTATTTATGTGGAACATGTCGATCATTCTTCCTTTAAAGGTGCTAACGATGTTCAGGTTATCTGCAGTTTGTGAACGCCACTTTTTCTCCAATATTACCTGTCAAACATTGCAGAAAAAAAGTTCCTCCAGGTGTCGCCTTTTCAGTGATAAACATCCAAAATGTAGATTGTAAAAGACGAGACGGACGCTCCAGGCTCGACCTTAAAGGTGCTCAAAAGTTCTGATTATGTGGAGAAGAAAAGCTTGTGTACTGACCCTTTAAGATCCAGTCTGCCTACATGAGGAAAAACACTTCTTTTTTTTCTTGCATTTTGCAGTTTGGCCAGCAGAGGGCGACGGCATGCTTTCATATGTGTTGACCTACTTTTTCCTGCCTCACAGATTCATGAATGAGTGGAAATAAAAGCCAGAATGTGCAGATGAAAAAAAAAAAACCTCCTTCAAGCTGGAAGTGAACAAACATGTGATCACTTTATGAAACGGTTTGAAACACTTCACGTCTGTTTTCTTTGTTTTTCATCTCAGACTTCTTGTGCCTCGGTAACGTGTACATATTTTACTGTAATTTATAGTGTGATGATTAAAACATAATTACAGCTCAGAGGAATGATGGATTTTATTTTAACATTTAGAATTTAAAGAGGTGAAAGAAGATGTTGGACTGAAGTTAAAGGTCTAATCAGTGACAGCCCCCTCCCCTCTGTGCTCCCTCTAAAGCCACGCCCCCTCACTTGCATACACGAGCGCCGTCCCTCCAGAAGTGGACCTCAGCTCATCTCTGTCATTGTGTAGAAACTACGTCGTCTCATGTCTCATTCAGCGGTCAGTAAACTCACAGTTTAAACTCCTAAAGTCATCGGTGACGCTCTTTGAGTGTGAGCTAGAGCACGCAAGAGGTAGAGAGCGAGCAGGGAGACAGGGAGGCGTCTGATTGGTTCATCAGATTGGTACCTCGTGGCAGACATTGGTCAAAGTTTTTACAGACTTACAAACTGATACAGATGATGGATTTACTTTGTTCCTTTTTCAGAGAACATGAGTTATTCATTTCTGTCAGGACCTAAAGACAATTTACACCAGAATCTGAAGAAGTGAATCTGGAGGAAATGACCAACCCTGACTTTAAATAACGTCTTAATGCAGCACGTTAAATAAACCTTAAAGGTGGAGTCAGGAGCATCACGTTCTATAATTTAATCTTTGAACACATCAAGTCAAACTTCCCCTTCAGGACTTTTTCTTCTTCCTGTCCGACCTGACGGACGAGTCGGAGACGACACCGATCGTCTTGATCTGAAACTTTCAGACGTCACAGCTTTAGACTGGAGTTAAAGAAACACCTGAATGAATCAGAATAACTTTATAATTACTGACAGAGACAAACTCCTCCTCTCAGGAGAGACACTCCTCCATGATGACATTTACAAGATCAATAAAACACAACAGCAGATAGAAAGAGGGATTCAGATCAAGTGTAGAAACTTTACTGATCCCGAGGGAAATTCAAAGTATCCAGTATCAGGTTACAAAGACGTACATGACATGAAACATTTGTGACAAATTAACCACAAAACAGACGCGCCCCCCCCCCCCCATACATATATAATCTTCATCATCATCATCACATCATCATCATCATCACATCTTCATCATCACATCATCACATCTTCATCATCATCATCATCATCATCACATCTTCATCATCACATCATCACATATTCATCATCATCATCATCATCATCACATCTTCATCATCATCTTCATCATCACATCATCACAATCTTCATCATCATCATCATCATCATCATCATCATCTTCATCATCTTAGATCTTCTCTGGTAAAATCTTCAGTTTGTGGAGTTCATCATAAGTGTAAATGTATGGAAACATCCTCTCAGTGAAAGTGTGTGTGTGTGTGTGTATGTGTGTGTTAGTATCAGGATCAGAGAACGACAGCTCTCCTCTGTTACAGTCCAGATTCACTCTGATCCTCTGAGGATTCTTCTTCACTGAGAGATCAGAAAGTGGATGTGATGGGGAGTCTGCTCTGTATTTACCATCATAGAAACATATTGACCATAATCCAGACTCTATGTATCTCTTCCTCTATCCAGACTCTGCTAACACACCCAGTAACCAGTCTGTATTGTCTCCAACCTGGACGTCCCAGCTGTGAGTCCCTGAGTTAAAGCCCTCAGAGCCCAGGACAGACCAGAAAGAATCAAACCTCTCTGGATTATCAGGAAGCTGCTGTCTCTCTCCTCGTGTCACACAGGTCAGATCTTCAGACAGGATGAGGACTGGATCAGCAGTGTTTGGGTCCAGAATGACCGGACTGTAGGAGACCATGTCCTTCATCTTGTTCCAGATGTTGAAGCTCAGGTTGCCCAGGTGTTTGGCCTGGTCTATCAGAGCTCCTGAGGGCAGCTGTGGATCCTCCAGCAGGGGGCGCTGCTGGACTCTTTCCACTGCAGCCTTGTAGTTTTTCAGGAATGAGACGTCTTCAGCTCTCAGCTCGTCCTCTGTGTCTCTGACTGTGTGTGAAAGAGCTGCTATCTCTCTGCTCAGAGCCTCCATCTCCTCCTTCATCCTCTGACTCTTCTGCTCCTCTTCCTCCCTCAGTGCACACAGCCTGGCCTCCTCTTCCTCTTCTAGAAACTGGTGAAGCTTCTTAAACTGCTCCTTAATCTGCCTCTCTGTGTGTCGGGCCTGGACCTGAATGTGTTCTGCTGTTTGATCAAACTTCACTTTAACTTCTTTAAAAACATTTAACTTCTTCTTTACCGGCTCCAGAGTTTCCTGAAGTTTCTTCTTGTGTTGTCCAGCAGCTTCATCGATGGGTCTGAATCTGTGCTCAGAGTGTTTTTCTGAATCTCTGCAGACGAGACACACCGGCTCCTGATGGTCCAGACAGAAGAGTTTGAGTTTCTCAGAGTGCAGACTGCAGAGATCCTCTGAAGCTCTCTGATCTCTCTCCTGCACAAAACTCTCACTCAGGTTCTTTAAAGCAAAGTTAACAGGTAACCACCAATCCTTTGGATGTCTCCTCTTACAGAGTGGACACTCCTGGTTCTCCTTCTCCTTCCAGCAGTCCTTCACACACTCTCTACAGAAGCTGTGGCTGCAGGACAGCATCACTGGATCTTTAAAGATGTCAAGGCAGATCGGACAGCTCAGATCTTCTTCAAACTTGGACGCCATTTTATCTCAGAGTCAAAACACGCAGCAGAAAAAAACAGGAAGCCACTCCCCGTCCCTGAGAGTTACTTTCACTTTGAAACTCTCGTTCAGTTTGTGGATTCAGCAGCAGGTTGAAGTGTTTGTATTCCCAGTATTCCCAGTATAACAAGTACTCCCAGTATCCCCTCCTCCTCCTCCTGTCCTCTCTCAGTGGAAGTCGTGCTGGTTTGTGTCTGCAGGTCGGTCCGTCTGTCAGCGTGTGTGTGTCTCTTCAGGGTGAGGCAGAATAACAGCCTGTTTCCTGGTTTGCCTCAGGTGACTCAGGTGAGGGGGCGGAGCTTCTTCAGAGCAGGAACACAGAGAACAGTCTCATTTCTCTGGGGGGGGAAGTGTCATGGATCAGCTGACTGAGCAGACAAACGTGACAGTCTTTTTCTTTTCTTTTTTTAACAACTTCATTGTAAACACAGACAATGTTACAAAGTTAGATTAAGGAACAAAGGAACATGCCAGGGGTTGACAAAGACTAAGACAAGTAAAAACATAGGGAAGGGTAGAAATGGAAGGGTCATCAGTTTACACAATTAAAATAAATACAATATTCAAGAGTCTTCAGGGCCTTGGGGTTCTCAGAGTGCTGGATGGTTTTCATGTACTGCTGCAGCTCATTAAAATAATGTTTGAAAATAGGTTTTCTGTTTGCAAATTTACTTTTATGGATATGAAATTTAGCCAAAATGATAAAAAGATTAATAATATGGTACTGTTTTAGTTCCAGACAAACGTGACAGTCGTCTCTAGCATTGTTGTGACCAATGACGTGTTGAACATACGCCCGCACGCCGCTACATCTTAACCTGTAAAAACTAACTTCCATGCTAAAATAAAAATGTAAAAAGTGGGAGAAAGTAGAAATTCCCAGCTTTCCAGTGGTACCACAAATGTGTCATTCAGACGGCTCCACAGTACGATCGCGTTGT